TGTTGTGTCTCTTCTTGTTTCTTTTGTTGTTCGAGCTGCCACTGTTGCAGGTTTTCTTGCAGCTGCTGTTGTGTCTCTTCTTGTTTCTTTTGTTGTTCGAGCTGCCACTGTTGCAGGTTTTCTTGCAGCTGCTGTTGTCTCTCTTCTTGTTTCTTTTGCTGCTCTTGTATTGCCACCATCAAGTCTGCTAAACTGTAGTTTGATTTTCCGCCTCTCGTTTCCATTTTTTTTTCGTTCCACTTCTGACACCAATTTGTTACGTCTCCGTTTGTTAATTAACTTTCCGTAACTTCGTTCCGATGAAACTTTAGCGACACAAGTCCTTTCTTAATAAAACTGGTTTATTCTTTCCGAATATAACTTTACCGATACACTCAACTTCAACAATCGCGCTAAACAAACGCTATAACAACGAACGTGCTCAATAATACTTCTGACTGCAGATCAAACACTCACTGTCTACACACACACATTACATTATCTCGTCACGTTGTCACCCTCTTTTATATACCAGCCTACCCTATATCTAGTAAATACTTGAGCATTCGCCAAGGTACAGGATAGTTCTAGAAACGTGGTGTCACAGTAGTCATGTGATTCGCTGACGCAACAGTTGATTAAATCTCGGACAAAATAATCATAGTAAATTATATATAGTTTCTTTTCTTACCATTCTTCTTTTGGAAAATGAGAGATTTAAACTTTTGAAATTTGTAGCTTAGCTACCTGAGGTATAATATTTAACATTATGTTCTTAATTTTATAAATCTCAGTTGATCTACTCAGGAGTTTTTTTTTTTTTTTGCTCCTTTCAGTTGTGTAGGTATCTTCAACCTAAACGATAAACAGAGATCCCTAGATGTCAGGTATGTTTTACAATGACAAGATGGCCTAGTTTTACTGGGACAGTCTCGTCTTTCAGCAGTTTGTCCTTAGAAAAGTTCTTAGGATGAACAAAACATTCCAGTTTTAAATACATAAAAATGTCAGTTACATTGAATCACAAAGGTAATACGCCTACTTGACTTTCTCATTGTTTTGACACACTCTTCTGCCATCAAACTCTCAAAAGTTTTCATGTGTGCGTGGTGAGAAATCCAGATCTGTGCATGTTTTTTAGTTAGTGAACTGTAGTAGACCTATAGCAAATTGTGAATGTGTGGTGGACAGTTAAACATCAGGGACAGTTCTCAAAGATATTTTTGTTGTTGAAAATGTTTAACCTATCATAATGTCAAAATGCTTTAATATGCATTTTCCAGATACATTAAAAGCAAACTTCCCTTTTTAAAGGTGAGTTGGCAAAGCTGTGTTTTTGTAAGCACGAGAAAGCATATCAGATATTACAGATTACACTGCCAAGAAAAAGCTCAAGGATCATTCTGAAATTATGGACAAGGGCTTGGCTGTCCCGGTTTTTGAGTTGAAAATCTGGTCACCCTTGGTATACTGTCCCTAATTTGAATTACTGACCAGATGGAAAGCAGCTCAACGGTTGTTATGTGGGAGTTAAAAAAAGTAAATATATTTTCTGTTTCTTGCAAAAACAAAAAATGAAACTTCACTGTACAAAAATAAGGTTAATAATAATCTTGTAATATATCAATATTTTTTGAATATTAAAGATTGCATTATCACTATTTCTAAAGAACTTGTTTGTCTTGAGTGTAGAATGTCCCTCAATGGCAAGATTGAATGTATACAATACCAGAATTAATTCGGAGTTTGATTTCATGATGGATGCAGTGCAGATGACCGATTTTGAAGCTTTGAGCTATAACAAACAATCCAAAAGCAAATTGTGGTCTATTAGTAAATAATTTACTTTATGAAACTGGTTCCTGGATGTATTCGGAATGGAATCCAAAAAGACAAAAAACAAATAACGTAAGACTAGCTTGTTAGTGGTATTTATACACTGTTTTTATCAAGATAAAAATACATTTATGAAAAGTTTAATAAAGTGGCCTAAAGAAATTACAGCTTTAAATAAAACTGTGTTTGTAATATCTATAAACAACTGAGCTCGACAAACATAATTACTTTTTATTAATGGCTGAGAACACAAGTATTTATTATTCACACTGCTATATAAAATGTTTGTATCAAAACTAAATAAATTCAAACCTTTAGCAGTAAAGCTACTAGTAACCAGAAATATTCATGAAAATGACCAAGCTACTAATATTTACTTAAAAGCTTTATATTGCGAAATAAAAATTGGCTTTGTCATATTTTAAATAAAATCTCTTTGAAACATGGAACTAAAAAATTTATCTCTTTAAAAACTGAGCCTACACATAACAAGAGGTAGTACCTACACTTTAAGATGGATTTCAATTTTCTCTAGTTCAATAAAACAGATTTTCAGTAGAATACATGCACTGAACAGAATTAGAAATTATGACTAAGATTTATACTACTTTATTTCTATCAAAACACTTAAAACTTCATGCAAAGTCATAGTCTTAACATTGCTCTTTTAAGCAATGCACATTCACAGTTGCACCCACATTAGTGTTGAAATGCACTTCATGAAAACAGTATTACATACTGCCTTTAAATAATGTTTTAACTCATGCAATTTCCATAATTACTATTCTCATGACATGTGTTATTGTTACATTTTATAAAAAAATTCTTTTTATAGAAAAAGTAGGTATGAAAGTATAATGAACAACATACATATTATCCAAATAGCATCATATTATTCTATATAAATTTTACACTGAATAATTCAAACTGTATATGTGAAAAACTTCAATGATCTTTTCACACACAAGCAATTGCAAAACTTAACAGTAAAAAAATTCCACTTTATCTCTGTACTTTCCAAACCAAAGATAAATTATTCTTTTATACACTGGAAAAAAGTTTCTGCAATCTTATTTGGAAATGCAAACAGTTTCAATGAACTCAAAAAAGGACAGGGTTTTTCACACACACACACACACAATACATATGTGCACACACACACACACACATTAGTTAACAAATTACATTTAATAAGAAAAAATATAATCTTTAAAATGGAAAGTGATTGCACATTTTTTACTAGCCTCTTTTCTTATTAAAATCTGTAATACTTTTTTTTTTCTAGTAACTGAGTAAAATAGTATACATAGATATATGAGTGTGTTGTGTAATAATGTATGAAAAGGAACTTCATAATCATCTAGAAATACACAAAGATAGCAATTTCTTCATACAAGTTGTTTACAAGCACATAAACGTATTCCTTGTAGGTCAAATCTTTTATAACATACAACTCGTTTTATGTCAATGCAGTATTTAAATCACATACAGTTAAACTCGGGGTGAAAAAGCATTGCCAGAAATATTTGATTTAAACAAACAACTCTTTCTATAGAAAAAGCTCTGAGATAACCTGCATGTATTATGGTGTTTTCTTACACAGATATGAAATAATGAAACTGTTAAGCCAAATTAGACTTGAAAACTAACATCACATGCAATATACAGTGCATAATGCAAAGGTTGACTGGTGTCTCCTATGGTTTTGAAATTGTCAAATACCTTAATCTCAACTACCACAGTTAATCTGACCATCGAGTAAGGAAATATTTATGTACTTGTCCTTTTTTTTTTATAATTGACAATCACGGTAAAAAGCAGATCTTTCTTCAATTGTCATTAAGTGGTCCATCATCTGTTGATTTAAATCATCCAAGATTTTGGAGTAGTCTGTCAGTTTGTATTCATTCTTGCCAAACTCATCATCCATTGCTAAACAATATAAAATAGAATTATTATAAACCAGCAATCATCACTCTGTATAAAAAAATAATAACAATAAAGATAAATTATATAAGGAAGAACTAAGATATCCAATCTTCTTGGTTAGTGTGTGTGTGTGTGTTTGAACAGATTTTTAAACACCTTCCCTTTAGAGTTGTGAAACTAATTTACCTTACCTGTTATAACCTCATAATAATTGGCATCATAAAATCATATCGTAATGTACTTAGTAAACATTAAAAGTACTTGCATCTGTTTAGGTTATTGATTACACATACAAAACCTGTAGTATTTTTAGATAAATATATATTGTACAGGAATTGGTTCATTATTTGCCAAACTTATTTTACAATCATTTGTTTAATTTTCAAACTTTTGGTCATTACAGTTTATTTTCAGAGCAGTAACAAGAAAAAGAGATGTCTTTTATGTAACATGTTCATTATTTTCTGGGTAAATGTTTTCACTGATAATTAAACTGATTTTTAATTTTTATATATACATTTATAAACACAGTTTCTGAATTATTGATTTTGAGCATTTCATTTTTACTGAAACAATAAGGGTGAATACTTATTGCATCTAAGGTGAAATTTAATTTTTGCACTATTATTCTCAGAAAACTAAGGAGGTGAATAATAAAATGTATCACAAGAGATAACAGTTAGATATATATTCTTTTTACTATCATTATCTGTAAGCTTATCTTACAATGGACACTGCAATATGACTGTTAACTTTCTATTTAAAAAGCAAAACAGTTGTCGATTCACAATCAATATTTAATGGAAACAAAGTTCAATGAAGATAATACAATGTGTGCATGTAATATTTTTCTTTAAATGTAAATGATATAATTTTTCATATTTCTATGGAACAATTTTGTAACAAGATACCCAAGTATGAGCATGAAATATTTTGAGTGGCCATCTAGAATATAAAACAAAAAGTGTTCTAGATATTGTCCTGTACTTTATCTTAAATTGCACCTTTGTTTTTAAAAGATGTATGAATATAGTAGGTCACTCCTTAGGGGCCAATACATGATTATATTTGTCAGGAGCTGAGTTAAGAATACAAAGTTCCTGTTAGCATGTAATTAACTTTGTCTACATACAGTGAATAGATATTAGGCTACATGGCTAATTCTTTGTTGTTCCTAAACTGGCTATCAAACATTTACTTAAAGTTGTAATTAACAGACGGAGTTGATATTTTATCAAGAAGTTTCTAATTTAAAGAAAAAAATTCTTCCAGTTTGGCAGTAGATATTATTATTATTATGTAGGTCCCAATTTGTTTCTGTATTGGAGGTTAACCAACAACTTTGCAAAGTTTGTTTAATAATCAGAATGGATGGAAAGTTTACATTAAGGTTTTGTTAGTTTTATAAGTGCTGTATACTTTAATCTAAATTAGGTTCAGTATTCTATTTAGTCATGTAACAGTATGTTGTAAGTAGTTGCTGAAAAGAAGTTACAAGTATTTTGTTCTTAATAGTTAGAGAAAGGGTGTATTTTGATAGCCGAGTAGGAATAAACCTGTAATTCTGCATTATAATGGTTTTACAGCATGAATTTGGTTCTTGATGTAAGAAGAAGACTTCCACTGGAGCAGAACTGTTACATGGTTTAGGTTAACTTTGTACCAAATTAAAATTAGCAAGCTATAAGGCCACATTGATGACAGAATGCTGTATCATTGTGTCTTTAAGTTTTCAGAGGATTAAAGACCAATTTAGATTATAGCAGAACTTATTTTCTTATGTCTTTTTTTTAAATTTACTTTAGACTTCTGGCTTAGTGAGTAGCAGCCCTTCAAAATAATTGACTGCTATGTATAGATGACATGGCCTCTCAGAGTGAGTATGTATATTTAATAGGCTAAGTATTCATTGTCCTATAAATAAACTTTTTGTCTTTAAGTAGACTCATGATCTGGGCTTTATTCAAGTTTTATAGCCATTGTGCACACTTGTTTTCAGAAAACTTCATAAACACAGATTAAGCATTATTAATTAACTTTAGATTTGAATTTAATTTCACATGCTTCTTTTTTGCTGTGTTACTTATACTGCTGAAACCTTAGCAATTTACTTGTTAGATTGGTTGCATTTCTTGTGTGTGTCATTAACCAAAGTAGTACTTAATAGTAGGGACTGTTATGAAACAAAATGGTCACTGATTTAAAACCACCTTTAAAATGTCTGAGTATTAACAATGATTCTTTCACAGTATTGTCTGAGCAAAACTAAAGCTTATTGTACTTATAAAGCTGCCTAAATTGCTATACACATGTTTATGGAGTCAATCAAAATTTTACTATTTCAACAAATTTTCATCTAAGTAAATTAGTGACTTTTCCAGACATCGTACAGAAAAAAGACAAACATTATAGATGTAATTCTTTCACAGAACTCATCCAGTTGGTGTCCCAATGATTCCTTTCTTGTACCAAAAAGGATGCTAGTGTATCAAATCAAATTGGGTATACGTGCATCCCACACTTGGTATTGCTGGTGCACAAAAATATGGCTAGTAAAAAGGAAACAAGTAAGTATAATAAAAATTGTTTTCATTTTATAAAGACAAGTAGGGATTAATATATACATAACCTACAAATGAGTAACTCAGTTTATGCAGTTTTGACTTTCTTGTTTCAATACTTTTTGTAGCATTAAAACTTTCTATATTACTATAGCTAGCTAGATTATGTATATATCAATCCCTACTTGTCTTTATAAAATTAAAAAATTGTTTTATTGTACTTGTGTATGTATGTATGTATGCATGCAACTTTTTATAGAGCTGTTCCCCACTGTCTCAGCAATTAGCCTGAAGGCTTACAATTCAAAAACTCAGATTTTGATATTCTGGACACAGTACAGATACCCCATTGTGTAGCTTTATGCTTGAAAATAAACAAACACATTTTTTGAGGTTCTACATATTATCTCTGCAATATGTTTCTCACATATGTAACTGTATAAATATTAATACATAAATACAATATCAATAAAACCATAAAAAGAAAGTGAAACACTATAAAATAGAAGAGCTTACAATCAATATTTTGATCAAATAACATTCATTTATACCTCCTAAGAGTTGTGATTACTGCCTCTCTTTTCCTTTACAATAGCCATACTTTTCTTATCTTTCAAAGTATTACCTTAGTTTCAAATTGTTCTTCAAATTACTTTTAATCATTTCAAAATGTGTTAACTTTCCTATCTTCCATAATTTATTTTTTTTAAGTTTAATTTTCTACTTTTGTACACAGGTATAAAACTTATTTCCATTCCTAACCACCTACTCTATAAGCTATGTCACTTATTTTCTAAAAAGCCGGACTCCCAAAAGACAGTCGGTATTCTCTGAAAAAGGATTTATTTCGAATAATACAAATTTCAAAAACTTCATACCTTGAAGTTCCTTTAATTTGCTGTTTGCATCTTCAGCTAACTTCTTTGCTCGTTCTTTCAATTTTTCTGCTCTTTCTTTAGCATATCCACTCTTTTGGGTTTTCTCATCTAGATCTTCAGCAGCTTTGTTGTACTTTTCATCCAGTTCTCCAGCATTCTACATGATCAAAATTAATACATTTAAAACAATTTTTTGGTCACAAGTAAATAGACACCTAATTTTTCATCATTTAACTGATTTATGCTAACTAATTTGTGTTCACAGAGCACTATATAAATGAAAATGGTCCGTACACTAATTATCTTGTGCTACAACATGCCTAGAACTCAAGGTTCTCTCGAATTGTCAGATTTTGCTAGAGGAAGGATAGTTGGTCAAGCAGATGGTGGAATAAGTCAGCGGCAAATTTTGCAGAATTCAGGAATCTCGCTTTCGACAGTCAACAGAATCATTGTGCAGTTCAGAAAACACGGCAAGGAAACAACTGAGCAGCGTTCGGGTCGTCCTGGTCCATCAGAGAGGACAAAAAGGGCTGTCAAGAGGAGCATCAAAATGGATCCCAGATTAACGACTGCAGAAGTGGCCAAAGTTGGTGGGATGAGCCCAATATCTGTTCAATGGATTCTCCACAGATTGGGTTATCGTTGAAGACCAGCTAGATGGAAGCCCTTATTAAGACCTGCCAACATAGTCAGACGAAAGAAGTGGGCAAGTGATATGATGACCAAGCCTCTGGACTTTTGGAAGACTGTATTCGGACAGTGGAAGGATATGGGTCTGGAGAATGCCTCATCAAGAGTTTTGGCTCAACAGATTGCAGCCAACTGTGATGCATGGTGGTTTCAGCGTGATGGTTTGGGGAGCTGTTTGGGTTGGTGGGAAATCGAGCTTAGTGGAGTGTGTTGGCAACATAAATTTTGCGAAATACGTCGAAATATTGGAGGAAGGACTCTTGCCACTTTATTCCTCGGGTTTCGTGGACGAGAACACAACACAAAGATGGAGCACTGTGTCACACTGCTAGAAACCCCCAAAAGTGGCAGGAAGAAAATGGTATCCAAAAGTTGCCTTGGCTGAGCCAATCTTCTGACATGAACCCCATCAAAAACCTCTGGGCCATACTCGACTGGCAAGTCAAGAAACAACCAAAAAAACCAACTTCGAAAAGCAATCTACTCCAAGTTTTAAAGCAAGAATGGGCGAAAAGGATCAACGAACTCGATGAAGCGAAAGGAAGATCTACTATATATGAATTAAATTATAAATATATCAATTCATGTGAATATGACTGAAAAATTTCATATTTTCTGAAAAGGTAGTGTCTATTTACTTGTGACTACGCTGTGTACATATAGTAACAGGTATTGTAACAGAATCATTTTTACAATAAATCCACCGTGGATAATAGCATATTAGAGTATCAAATATTGATTCCAGTGTTTTAAATATGGAATATTTTTAGGATAGTAATTTTGATGCATAATATTTTATAGCATGTTTTTATCATGTATAGGATTTTGGTGCACAAGTTTTTGAAGTCCCAACTAAACTTATAATTAAGCCATTGTCATTTACAAATATGTATAGAAATTCTGCATGACAACAGAAATCCTGAGAACAAGGCCTCCTCATGTATCATTGCCATAGAAAATTGATTTTGTAACCTGTTCAGTAACTATAATTTTAACAAGTATTATATGTATACATCATTGGTTAACAACAGAACAAAAAAAAGTTTTTCATAAAAGGAACTACTGTTACAACTGACCCCCCCCCCAAAAAAAAATGTGTAATGTTACAGCTATCTCCACATAATTAATAACATTTCTCAAAAAAGAATGTGCTGAACATTGTTATTTGCATCAGGCATTATGCTTGGAGACGGCTTGAATGGGTAATGAAAAAATTCTTTACTATAAGTTTAACATAACAGCAAAATGTACAATGTTTTGTCATCATCAGGTACAAGTACTTTACACTGACACAGACATATATATACAGTATGGAACAAATAGGTCACATGACCAGGTATTGGTGCACATTTAGAAGAGATAACTTGGCACCCCAGGGTGTTGGTTTAGAGTAGGGTTGTTTTGTTCAATTAAGATGGATTCCTTGATTTTTC